AAAAGCAAACTTCAAATGCTTGGCAGTAGGGGAAATGTGTTTTTTAGAACTTCAACGTACTCCGTCGTTAAAGTGCACGCGTACCCGTAGTGCAAACTGTTCTCGTTCACCAACTTCTCATTATTCTGTTCACTGTTCAACATTTTTACGGGGCACTAAATATTATATTTATATCCTTAGACAGTAATAACCCGAAGCGAGGCAACGTTTATTGTTACTACATATTCTTTCTCATCACTGAAACCGATTTCTTCTCCTATTCGACTCGAATAGTGGGCGATAATTCTAAACTGCGCTTGCAGCAAGACCGCACTCAAGTTCAATTTTTGAAATGCAAAGTGAAACGTTGACTCGGGTTACAAGATATTCTATTGTTTAGCACTCAAGAATTATACAAGTGATATAACCTAACAAATATCAAACAAAGGTTAACCAGTGTGATAAACATAAAAACAAAAATAACAACAACAACAACAACAAAGAAAAAAAAACAGACCAAATTATGAATTGCAATTAAACCCGCTTGACTGAATCAGTTTTAAAAATGAAGCTCATTTGTAAAAAATGTCACATTTTTTTGCCATAGAATAAGCCGCTGTCAATAAAAACTAGATCACAAAACAATTGAATAGTGAACGGTCAGTGTTAAACCGACTTTCAAGGAGGTATACAAATAAAGCTGAGATGGTAAAGAGATTTCAATTTTAAACTTTTAATTAACAAAAGTAGCAAAAGAAACACTGAGAAGTGGAGAAAAAATCCATTGAAAAAGCCATTACCCGTCTGGAAGTGTACTTACAGAACACAACGGATAAGCGTTGCAAAATTAGGATACGGTAGAAGTCAAGGATAACTTCGTCGAGAGCGGACTGCGTGGAACTGTCAACGTTTCTCTTACACGCAATACGGAATCCCGTGCAAATTTACACCTTCCAGTAGGTATTGTGATGTGGTTGGATAGGGGATACATTAATGCAAACACGTTTTGACCAACCCTTTCTTCATTTTGCAGTGACGCTGTTAAATTCACTAGCTAAACCAAAAAAATATGAAGATTTACCAAAAATCTAAATTGAAAAAGGTTGTCCTGAAAATCAACTTCTAAGCTTAGAATTACATTTTAAATTAATAGCAATTTTGAGGACATCAACACAGCACTTCTTCTCAAAAAGCTAACGGATTTCTTCAAATATGCATCTTGAAAATCTCGTAAAATAAGTCCTCACTACTCAGGATATTCCAATGTATAGTAAAAGTAGCACATACACATGAGGTTCAGGAGCGATCTAACGGTCCACCTTTCGCTCATAGGGCTTAAAACATTGTTGTAAATTTGCTCTTCAATCGTTCCAAACATGACAAAGTGATGAACCATCATCTTTCTGGTTTGACCAATGCGGTCAATGCGTCCAATAGCCTGTAGCAACAAAAATCAAGGCATTTATAGCTGACTACGATTGGGGAAATCAAATAAGTGCGAATAAAAGAAATACTAAAAGCATTTACCTGAGCTAGTTGTGTGGCATCCAGCTGAGGTTCAACAAATATGACGTGGTTTGCAACTGTAAGATTCAAACCTCGTGCTCCACAGCTAGTTGGAATTACCAACACCTAAACTATGGAAATCTCAACAAATTAAACTTTCACTTTTTAAAAGTTCAGAACGACAATCATTAGACCGTGAAAGACAAGCAATTTGAAAAAGGCATAAACCTGAACGTCTGGATTAGAACAGAACTCTAGAAGTGCTTTTTCTTTGTTAGCCTGAGCAAAGTTCCTGAATTTTATTTCATTTGCCTCCAGATGTTTACAAATAAAAGAAATAATATTTATCAAGGATGTGAAAAGAAGTATCTTGGCAGCTGGTTCACGTTGACCGATAGAAAGAATTCGGCGTACCACGGCGTTCAACTAAAAATATTCGATAGTATGCTTAGAGCAAAAAAATGTGTACTCTTGCAAACTGTTATTGCAAATAAGCTGCATTCATAAAATAAACTTAAATAAAACCCAAGTACGCAAGACGTGTTATCAACTTGTTCAAAAAAATGAAAAGCACAACAGATGGGAAATTAGAAATTAATCCATGCATCAGACCACTGTAGCCGGCTTTCCGGTAAGAATTTGACAAGAGGCAACATTAAATCTCCAAGGTGAGTAGGTAATACGGTAGCATTCAAATTTTTTCATACATCTTATTTCAACTTCCTTTATTCTTTTAAAAATGAACTGATGTATCTCCCACCAAATGTTAATTACGTCTTGAAAATGCCGTTTACTATCTTAACTGCAAGAGTTTCGAAGAATGATATAAGACGAAAGAATACATATTCTGAAAGAATTGAATTAAAAACATACTTTGACAGAGGCCTCTTTCTTTAAAGCCACCGATGATAAGTCTAGATAATGATGGGTTTCGGAAACCGAAGTACTCTGTACAAAAGTTATAGAGCACACATGTGCTTCATAACGGCAAACTGGGCAACGAATCCTCTCTCGCAGCCTCCTACAATTTCAACCATTGATGGTAAACAAAGAGTTCAGCTAGTTCAGAAAACTCCAGGTTAATTTTCAGGCACGTCATACAAAGTTTAAAAAACAAAGTTCATTTTAAGCAACACAACCTTCTAGAAATACCGTCATAACAGCTTGAACAGATGCAGTGAGCGCACGGGAACACAAGCCAAGTTCGTTGAATGCGTTCATAACAAACGGGACAATCAATTGCAGTTTCGTGACGGAGCTTGTTGAGGTAACGTAATTTTGATAGAAGGAACAGTTGTTTATCCTTAGTTGATGCCAACAAGTGTTCGTAACAAGTAATCTAAGTAAATCACTATTACCCTTACTAATAAGGAATGGAAATACAGTCATCTAGTAACCAAATGAGGCCAACTTCAAGAGATTGCAAAAAAATTCCGCCGAGAACCTGTGCTTTTTCAGATCCAGGAGTACACAGAAAACTATTTGCCTCAGATCTGTAACGAATGTTTTCATCGTCAGTGTACGAAATTCGAATCTTACACTGACGCAGCTCATCGCTGAAACCAAAAGTAGTAAAATAAAGTAGGCATATGTAAGAAAAATCGAAAGCGGAAAACAAACCTTACCTCCTTGCAACATAATCGTAGAAGGCCAACATTAATTTTTTGGCTTCCTTTAGAAAATCTTTGAATAAATTCATCAGCAGAACGGTTTCACTTGCGAAATCTAAGAGTTCTTTAGAAAATGAATCTGAGCGTCGCATCATAGTCTGACGAAAGATACGGATTACAAGTTCCAATGTAGATATAGATTGCTCGCCGTTACTACTTTTCTCAAGTTCATTTTCTTCTTCTTTCAACTCGTCAAGTGTTCTAAAATTCACCTTGAGTTCTGTCCAACCAATTCAATCTTCAATAAACTGAGATAATAAGAACTCACTTTCTTTTAACAGTTTTGAAATATAATAATGACTCGAAACGTCGCAATTCCGCGTCATACATGCACAAAGAACATCTGAAAATATGTTTTGACCAAACAAAATGTGAAAAAAGGAATGAGCTAAGCCTTGCGGCAAACTGATACTTTTGCGCACTACAGGATAGAAAAAGCGCTTAATGGAAAGAACCAAAGCACTAAAATAAAAACTAATTCTGACCGGTCTTCTCTACGATTTTCGTTTCTCTCTACAAAATGACAATCTATAACTTCCTCCACCTTCGACATCGCTCCAGGTGAGAAGAGTCCTGAGCAAAAGTCTTCAGTCAACTTTTTTACAGTTTTGAAACTATTGGTCAGTTCATCCCACCGCTGCACTGCCAAATATTGTAACCCGTTTAGATCGCGTACTCTTAAAAGACCAGAAACATAAATTAGCAGGATTAGACTAATAATTTCCTATCAAAGACTTATCAAAGAGCCTATTAAGATCATTGCAAGCAGTTTTTTAAAAACTTTCCCTTCAAAGTTCAGGAAACCATACTGCTACATTTAAACAAGGCGGATACCAAAGACAAACTAGTATCTAATGAAAATACATGTATGTATATATGCATAAACGTTTCCCGAAAAATTCCTCTTATAAGTAGAGAAGCTTTGGTTACTTAATCTCCACTCGACTGTATACATCAAGGGCCGATTTTATAGCTTCCACGAATGTGGCCTGAATCTTTGAATCTGTGGCAGAATTTGCTGCGCAAACAAGCCACCCAGTACTCGAATGCATCTGAAAAGACAGCTTAAGTAGATGAATCAAAAAATGTGGACGGTACTAAGGGTTTTTTTGAAGAAGAAATATCGACTAATCAGGTGCTAAAGGAGCGAATTAATGCTGCTGATTTTAGTGGATTTCAGTTGAAAATTACACTATTCCACTTTTCTGTGTTATCTGCCAATAATGAGGTATTCCTTTGCTGTGCGGATTTCAGTAGATCAGTAGCCTGAACCATATGTTCATCGACCAAATCTTTAAGCTAAAAAAAATATATGTAGGAAAGAAAAACAGAAAAAGCTAAAGAGAAAAATGTGTATTCCAAAAATACTTCTCAAGCTGGAAGAAAGAAATACACAAATGGTCTCACAAACCGGTGTAGTGATATATTCTACTTACTCGTTTCTTGGCTAAATCCTTATCAAAATCATCTTTAGAAACTTTATTCTGTTCCTTCAGTTCTAATAGTCCATTCAGGGTGTGAATAAGCTGGAGACGATCAGGACGTAATTTTCTAAGAAAATTAAGAGAAGTAAAAGTTGTCAGAACCAAATATCTACCAGAAATCGAAAGCAATTGCAATAATGAACAAAATTCCCAAAAAAAATTTCCTGTAACAGAGATAACAAACCACTAAAATTTCACAGAGGAGCTGTAAAGTTACCTGTAGGGGCCCTTAACTGCACTAAGATTCAAAGCAACATTTTCGTTGCTTAAAACGTCAACAGACTCTAACGCGCAATGATAAAAACTGAGTGCATCATAATATTGACCTAATAGCCAATGAAGACCAGCGATACCTGGGGAACGACGGTCACAAATCATAAAACAACCCGGACAAAGAAATTTTCTTTTTAATACGATGAAGACTCCATAACGATTATTAATTGAAACTTATTTCGAACCAAAAAAATAAAACGAAATGCTACCATTGTAATAAAACATAAGGTCCCTCTGAGCCTTTTCAATTTCTGTAGTGGTTCGTTTGAAAAGCTCCTCCTGAAGTTGCTCTTTGGATGATAAGTCATTCTTGACCTACAAAATGTTCTTAATAGTTTCATACAGGAAAATTTGCTTGGCAGATTAATGTTATTATATATTAAGACGAGGAATGAAAGCAAAGTAAACCTTAGCAAACTGAAGACCTGGTAAAACAACAAAAGACCGAACATTTTGCAAAGGCTCCATAACACGATCGAAGAGAGCACCGTGTAAATCGCTCAAGCAGATATCCAGTGATACTCCCGCAAAAGAGGAACTGATTGCTATAGAATTAGAATTTAATCATCCATCACTGTTATTTCAGGATCAGATTAAATTAACAAACTTCGAAAAGGTTATAACGTTCCTATACAGACACATGAGCAAAATGACATAAAGCCAAGTCACCGAAAAGCAAGTAAACAAATTAATCGCAATTTTTTTAATTACACTTCAGCAAGCTTACCAGCAATTTTCTCTCTCGCACGAGAAGTGAAGAGATTACGATACAGCTGTTCCTCAAAAGGCGAGAGATGTAAAACTGTTAAATCTTTTGCTCTTACAGGAGTAAACAACTGAAAAAGTTTTAAAATTATGACAGCACTGTAGTAAAAATTCAAAGACGACAACAGCTAATATATTCAAAAAATTGACTGACAAACCATTTTTAAAACAAACATATAGGAAATTTCACCTGATCGACAACATCGGCTTTTGTACTTCGCCAAAGAATTTGAGAAAAAAGTTTAATAAGCATAGATGGGTCACCACGAATGTAAGAATCCCATAATACGTGGTCAAACCAGCTGCGGTAGCAGAACGGTTCTACTCGAATAAAGTTCAGAAATCCAAATAGGTCTTCAAAATTATAAACTTGAGTAAACGAAACAAATATACAACAACCATTGCGAGAAATAAACCACTGGTCAGCAACCTTAATCCCACTGCCTCATGAACAGTAAAACTTGGAAGGCAACGTTAAAATAAAATCTGAGTCAAGAGATAGTAGAATCTGTGCAGGAAAAAACAATTTATCCTCATAAAAAACATTAAAAAACCAACTCATAACAGAATTTTTAATAGGAGTCCCCGTAACACACCATCGGTTAACTGCAGCCAGCTTCTGACACATTTGATAAGCACAACATGTTACCCCTTCTACTACTTGAGCCTCGTCAAGACAAACCTAAAATGGCTATAGCCATTTCGACATTTCATTAAAATAAGGTGTAATTAAAAATTTGTGGAAAGTTTTAAGCTAAAAACTATCAATTATACAGCCCTGAAAATAAAAAAAGGAAGGCTAAAAATTTTTGGACTAATAACTGATTTATTAATTACTATCCTCTAAATATGTGAGAATAAAGTTTTAAAATCGCATTTCCATTAAATAAAGCGAAAAACTGGCGAAGGTATCTATAAACAAGTACACACTGAACGTGTAAAATTATTTATTACCCTCCACCATTCAACACTAATCAACGGCGATGGCGCATACAACGCTGTCTTTTTACGAAGAGTTCCTGCAAGTGAAAGAAATTTGGTTATATTTCTAATTTCAAAAAGTGAGACAAAAATCACAAAAAAAACCCACGATTTTTCCGTGCCACGTCAGTGAAGTGTATTTCTGAACGAAGTGTTTCGAAAGAGCATATAACGAAATGTTGGCATGCAAGGTATGCAGGATGCTTGTAGCCGTCAACAGCAACACCGCGGTATAACTAGAAAAGTTCTGAACAGTTGCTTTTCAAATAAAAGGCCGAAAGGCCTTCATAACTCAAGCAGGAAAGTAGACGCTCTACAAAACATTTCGAAACAAGCTTGACGTAAAAACTAACATCTACTTTGATATCGGCTCTAACATGCCTCTTTAACTCTTCATACCACTGTCTACAAATGGTGCTAGGTGCAATAATAAGAGAGGTTCTCAACTGAACCAGCTCCTCCTAAAAAACCGAAAATCCTTAACAAACCAATCGGAAAAGGTAATGAAGCAAAACTGAATTCGCAAAAAAAAAACTAACGTTAGAAGAAATACATTCTGGACAATGAAATTCAACACTGTCCGAAGGAAATTTGTCCCAAAACACAGACTCTTTTTTGCATACGCGATTACACGAAGTGCAAGTTACGGTATTTAATAGACTTCCATCATCGCTGGGCAAGCCTTTTCTTGACCTCTTAGTGTTTTCACTTTCAGTGATGTCATACAAACATAGCGAGCGCTTTCTACCCTGTAGGAAACGAATGTAGCAAAAGATCAAGGAAAAAACTTCAAATTAAGAACCTTAAACTGGCAGAAGAACGCTAAAATAGTTTGAAATACTGTCGCTTCATGGGCAAACAAATGCTCTATGAGTACAAATTTGCACCTTTTTCAATGGAAGATGCTGTGTCTCTAGCCCTGCGACTACAGTAGAAACAAGTTCGTCCAGAATTATTTTTATAATGTCTGGTTTAATCGACTTTTTCGTTTCTAAAAAAACACTGCTCCCACGCTGATGAGTTAATGCAAGAGCGATAAATTCCACCGTTTTCCCCAGTCCCATTTCATCCGCCAATATCCCTCCTTAAAAGATAATGAATAACAAAGATCTCAAAACATTTCGTAGCAAAATCCTTTCAAAATAAACCTTACAAAGAAAGCGTCTACCTGGATAAATTTTGAATGGATCAACAGGCTTCAACGACATCCCGCCCGTCGCTGGATAAAACGTGAAGGAAGGATGTGTGGGCACCAGAACACTAATGGGGTTGAATAGTTGCTCTACAGAAGGATCTACCTCTCGTGAGATCATAAAGCGAACAGCATCTTCCTAAAAAAATTTACCCTGCAAAAAAAAAAAACAAGGTAAACGGCTTTTTCAAGCGGAAACCTGGTACGGCCGTAAAAGTGGAACTAATTTTTCAGTCCTTAACTTCCATGGCTTTACTGCACTTCTGTTTTCAGCGACCTTCTTCAGAAACCAAGCACAATCTTCCTTCTTACAAAAACTATCCGAGACGGGCCGCTCAACCTGTAAAGTCCCAAAGAGACTAATTGAAATAAAGGAAAGAAAATCCTATGAAAAGGCCATGACAATTAACCTGTATGCTATGAATTAAAAATATTGCACAACAGAGTGAAAGAAAGCCATCAGACCTCTGTATGCATATAAAACAAACCAAGGATGGGAAGAAGTAGGCCATAACTTCTACGATACTATTTCTAATTGGAGGAGAATATAAACCGTATACGGAGTCATCGGAAAGCGCGATGGTTTTCAAAGAAATGGTGAACCTCAAGAAGTTACCAACGGGAACAAGAGAAACTTCAAATACTCGCTGCGAAGTTCTAGAAATAATTCAGTTAAGAATTTGATATGAGTTTTTAAAAGCTGCCGATATCATAAACCTTATATCCATCCAATTATATTACCATAAAGTGTATGAAAATTTGATTAACCTCAATTTCTCCAGTAAAACCATAGTCTCCGGTACGATTAAAGCTACAGCTGTGTTGAAACATTTTTTGGGCAATTTCTTCCCAAAACATGATTCAAGCTAAAAAAAGCAAAACTTTAAAAGGGAAATCAACAAATGGCCAAAATTTACCATTTGCACAGCCTCCCCAACCAATATTTGATATCATGAAAGTATTAAAAAGAAAAACAAAAATAAAGAAATCAAAATACAGCAGTTTCAGCACTCACAATTAATCCCCCACATGAAGAACAGAGTCTTAGGCAAATCTTTTGCTTCGCTTCGAATGGAAACGAAGTTGAAAGATCCTGACAATAAACATTTAAAGAGCCGACTTCACAAAAGACAGAAATTTTTGTAGAAAGCCACGAACAAGTAAGCTGAACCGCTTCTTCCTGAAACAGTAATTCGAACGCTAAAACGAAAGCTGATTTATGGAAAAACCCATATGCCGGAACGAAAGGAACTTTTCTTTAAGATTTCTTGCAAAATAAACTTACACATCTGCAACCCTCGCCTGATACTAAGTCAACAAACACCCTTCCAGCTGAGGAGGTAGACGCTGCCGATTCCTCAAAAACAGAAGCACACTGTTGAGCTAAACCGCCAACCTTCATGTGAGCTGTCCAATATCCTAAAACTTCCTCTTTCAGTTTTCGCTCAGTAACGCAGCATTACTTCTACATCGGCACGAAACATCCCCACCCCACCTCTAACTTTCAAAATCGCTTCAAAAAGCTCGGAGAAAAACTCGAACACCGACCAAAGGCAAGTTAGAAGCACCCATTAAAGCTACATATTCAATGGACATCAAAAACTTCAAGGAAAAATCTCCTAACTCTATTTCTTAATAACACGTGATAAAAAATCTCGCTTCTCTACTTTTTCTCGTCATTACTTCCATAAAGTAAAAGAAAGAGGGAGAAGCCAAAAAAAAAAAAAAAAA